CAGTGAGCGGCCAGTCTGTACGTGGGATCCGAACCCTCGGCGGGAGCGCCGCCGCACTTCCCAAGCGGCGCACTGTAGCAGTGCGCCACCGGGCCGGCCCCGAGGGTTTTAAATTTTTAAAGAATTTTTACAAACAAACACAACTCTGTTAAGGTTAGGTGGAATGAAACTAACTTCTTTACAAATGAGAAAACTGAGACAGAGTGGGATCAAATAATTTGTTAAGGTCACATAGCTTTTCAATGGCATAATAATGATAATACCAGACAGCTGTATTGTCCCATTAGAGTGCTGATTTGTTTGAATACTACGGTTTTCCTTACATTCTTTCTCCAGAAACACCAGCTATGTCAAAAACAATATTGTAAGGCAGAAAGATAAGTTTCCCTCTTACCTGTCTGCTGTATGGTAGTTATTGCCTGTGCATTACACTGCAGCTGTAACATATGCCGCAGCATGGCCACTCCCCAGATGTTCACATCTGGACACAACTCAGGAGTCACTGCTTTCAGCTTAGAGGACTTCAGATCTGTTGTGAGGGCTTGTAAACTGGCTGCTTCTAGCTGCCTGCATAGTGCAGAAACACTTAGAGCACAGAGGAATTTGTGTTCTGGGCTATGATTTTCAGTATGGGGCAAAAGTTTGAAGACAGCATTATAATCATTTTTATACTTTCCATTAATATCACATCCAGGAATTGGGGTCTCAACTATTTTGCCATTTTCTTCACTCTCCCCCAGGCCATAATTAACTGTCTTGACCAGATTCTTGCCTTCAGGTAAACAGATGTCCTTGTCACTAATCTCCTCATGAAGGTTCCTTATGACTTTGTCAACATCCTCAAATCTAGCTAAAAGAATCAACCTCAGAGCAATGTGGCAAAAGACACCCAGGGTGAGAAGTAGTCCTCCTAGAGAACACTCTGTGCTATGGTAGCGCTCCCAGGCCTGCTGCATACACTCTTGGCTGCAATACTTGGCATAGCTGCATCCATCACAAGGAACTGTGGCCAAAGTGGGCTTCAAACATTGGTGACAGTAGAGGTCCCCATTGGTAACTTTGAGATCCCACTTGCTCTCTAGGCCGTGATTCAGTGGTGGCATTTCTCCTGGGTTAAGGACACTCACAAAAGCATCCTCCTTCACCAGGAGCTCTCCTGGGAGAATATCTTTTGTGGCAATCAGATAGCGGCCTTTTAAAGGGTCTGTGCGTAAGCTGACAGATGATGATGCACTGGAAATTTGCTCATTCTCTTCCCTCAGTTCCATATCCTCAAAGGCGTTGGCTAGAGCTGCTGGGAAGGTTTCTGTGAGATTCTCCTTTTCTTGTACTTTTCTTTTCAGATGACGAAGGTTTCTCTGCAGAATATGAAAGGGGGCAGCTGCTAGGGTTGGTTTGGCAGCTAAGTTACTTTCAAGATCACTGATGGTCTGGCTTGCCTCCTGTAGTCTTCCTAAGGTCACCAGACATTCCACCTTACGCAACATCATCTTGGGTCTCAATCTTTCTGGATACCCATGCATCTGTGCTCTGGTGATGTCTTTAAGACATGTCTGAAAACAGAAAGGAAATCCCCAAATGACTCTTGGTCCCTGCTCTTCAATGTTTACTGAAAATCTTTCCAAAAATCTACAGGAAAGTGAAAGATTACTAAAAATAAAACAACTACAACCATGTACTTTAAATCATATTCTACCGTGTGATCTTTCATTATTTTTTTTTTTACTGTCTGATCTTTTAATTGAGTGATTAGTAATACTTGTTGAAGATATTATGTTTAATTGTTCTTATTAAATATTTCTATTTTTAAGGGAAAAAAAGTCTTACATTTAAAATAATTATAGTATGATGATTAAGAGGGCAGACTTTGAAGCCAAACAGACCTGTGTTCAAATACTGATTCTGCGTCTTACTAACTGCATGACCTTGTGCAAGCAACTTAATTTCTCCGTGTCTTAGTTTTCTCTTCTAAAAAACAGGGATAATAATAACTCGCACGGTTATTTTAAGGATAAAGTAATATATCTAAAGTGCTCAAGGAGTGCCTGCAACATAGTATGTGCTCAATAAATGGTAATCATTATTATAAGAAAGAAAACAGAAACCACCAATATAGGGAATATATAAAGTGCTACATGTTTTGCAAGTTCTTCTAGTCACTGTCCTCAGTAGTCCAAGACTTTCTTGCTTAGGGCCTGGAGCTAGATTCTTGCTCTTCTCTTTTAGTCCTAAGGGAAGTAGTGTGAACTTGTGACTATTCCAATCATCCTTAACTCTAGGATATAATTTGAATTTCTATGAAATTCTGAAATGGATGTATCTAGATGGCATTTTAGAGCTTTTTCTTAGACTTCTCTCTATTACCAATTTCAGATGCCTCAGAGGTATCTTCCTAGAACATTAATCTGGTTTTGGTCACTTCCCGTTTTCAAAACTCTACTGACAAGTTTTCAACATTTTTCTCTGTTGCCACAATTAGGGGATGAGAAGGAAGCCACTTGTAGGAAGCCCACCTCACAGGCATGCACAGGCATTTCAGGGAACCTTTTACTTTCCCACTCATAAATGTTTATTGAGAGTGAGCTATATTATTAAAGGGATAATCTTGAACATGCTCTACTAATTTAAAACAAACGAAAATTTGGCAAACACAGGGAAACTGATGTATTATCAGCAATACATTGCACAGCTGACCATGACACCAAGCACTGCTGACTTATTGGTCCACAAATAGGATACAGTCCTATTGGTCCATGGACTATATATATATATAGTCCATGCCCCTGTGGAACAGATCATAGCTCTTTCTTGTCAACCAACACTACCTTTCATGGTCACCTTCATAAGTGAAATGAATCAGGAGAAATAAAATGTTTGGGTGGATATCAATGTGCTTCCAAGTCAATCAATCGCACCAGGGCCTGATTTTAGTGTTCTAAGGAAGACACAGAGCTGAAGGCCTAGTCCTCCAGTGAAGCCCCTACAGATCCTCTCCAACCACACCAGGCATCCTGATACTCACTTCGTACTGATCCAGGTGGAAGAGAGCTGCAGAGCGATTAGCATAACACAGTGAAATGTCCTCCGTGTTAGGCATTGAATGTGCTACTCCCTGCAAAATAATGAACTGGTTAAAGGTATAAATGGGACCTGGCATCTCTAAAGTGTATATTTCAGATAACAGGAGCTCTACTACTAAAGACTGTATGAAAGGTAAACAGAACCTCTTTGTGCTTCAGCTGCTTCAGCCTCATTTTTAACTACTTTAGAGCAAAGCTGTGAAGATCAAGTGAGGAAATTAATATTCAAAGCACTTTGAAGATAGCAACATCAGACACAGCTTCAACCACAAGCAATACTGAAGGTAAATGAAACAGGAAAATACTTGCAAGCATAATCCTGCATATAACAAAAGGTGAGTGACACAAATTCACAAAAGAAGAAACACAAATAGTTAATATATGGAAAACAAATAGTTAATTCATACATGGATAGCCAAACATAAAAAATGAAAGTAAAAAAAGAGATAATTTTTTCTAACATCAAATTAGCAAGGATTAATAATAACCATAAAGGTGGCATCTTTAATCAAAGGAGAAAATCAAAGGAGAAAAGATGGGATTATTCAGTAAAAGTACTGGGATAAATAGGTAGCCACTGAGAAAAAATAGAGTAGGTTCTACATGATAAACTTCATTGGATAAATTACAAATGAATCAAACTCAATGTAAAAAATCAAACTATAAAAGCGCCAGAAGAAGGGCCAGCCCGTGGCTCACTTGGGAGAGTGTGGTGCTGATAACACCAAGGCCGCAGGTTCAGATCCCTATACAGGGATGGCTGGTTAGCTCACTTGGGAGAGTGTGGTGCTGATAACACCAAGGCCGCAGGTTCAGATCCCTATACAGGGATGGCTGGTTAGCTCACTTGGGAGAGTGTGGTGCTGATAACACCAAGGCCGCAGGTTCAGATCCCTATACAGGGATGGCTGGTTAGCTCACTTGGGAGAGCGTGGTGCTGACAACACCAAGTCAAGGGTTAAGATTCCCTAACCAGTCATCTTTCAGAAAAAAAAAAAGAAAGAAAGAAAGAAAAAAGAGCACTGGAAGAAACTATAAGAATAGTCTAAAAGCAGTGTTGGAGATATCCCTTTCCAGCTATGATACAAAACGCAGAAGTCATAAAAGGTTAATAAATTTGACCACTTGAAAATAAATTTCTTCACAACAAAAAACAATAAAAGCAATATCAAAAGGCAAACATTGAACTGGAAAAATAATGGCAACTCATATTATAGGCAAAGAGCTAATTTCTTTATCAAGAATTCCTACAAATCAATAAGATGACAACCAATTATTCAGTAGGAAAATAAACAAATGATACGAACAGTTCTTATGGGAAATACAAATGGCTCTTAAACATGAAAAATGCTCAATCGCATTCATAGTCAACAAAATGCAAATTAAAGCTATACTGAGATATAATTTTTTACCCATCAGATTGGAAAAGAAAAATAAAATTGATAGCACACTGAGTTGGCAAAGGGGTGGGGTAATGTGAATTCTCATTGTTACTAGTGGGAGTGTAAACTGGTGTCATGATTATGGAGGACAATTTAGCAATACATATCAAAATTTTGTATGTATTTTTTATATATGCATATAAAATCTCCACTGATCCAGCAATTCCACTTCTAGGAATTTATAGATGTAATTATTTATCCTACAGATATGTGAAAAATTACATACATGCAAAGTCTCTTATCATAGAATTGTTTGAAATAGCAAAAGATAGAAAACAGCCTAAATGTTGATCTATATCTAATATATCTATTTAGTGGAATACTATGTAGCCATAAAAAGAATGAGGAAGTTCTTTATGTACTGATGTGGAATGATCTTCAAACTATTATTAACTGAAAAAAGCATGATGCTGGACAGTATGAACAGAATGTTATCATTTATGTAAAAAGAGAGTGTGTGTGCAGAAGTAGAGGATTATTTGTATTTATTTATATATACCTTAAACACCTCTGGAAAGATACATTAACAGTGCTAGCCTACAGGGATGGGAAATGAAGTGGCTAAGGGACAGGGGAAGTAGCCTAGACTGTATACTCTTGCAACTTTTGAAATCTAACTATGTGAACATATTCTATTAAAAAATAAATAGATATAATAATAAAACCCATAATAACCAGTACTGTTTAGGACATAGAGAAATCAAACATTCCCATACTCTGCCAGAAGAGATGTTAACTAGTTCTCTTCTGGAGAACAATTCAGTATCAATTACCAAAGGCCTTAAAAAATACATTCCCTTTGACCCAGCCATTATCTTAGAAATTTATCCGAAGGAAATAACCAGATGTATACAAATATTTACATAGAAAGAGGCTCACTGCAGTGTTATGATATGAAACAATTTGCCAACATTAGAAGATGTTAAATCAAGTACAGTTCTTCTCTGTAATGGAACACTAAACCAGCTGTAAAAAATCATGTTTCAGTGGAAAATTTAATAACATGAGAAAATGGGAACAATAAATTGTTGAGTGAAAAAAGCAGGTTACAAAACAGTAAATGCAGCATTATCCCAATTTTGTAAAAAAAAAAAAAAATTTTCAAAGGAAAAGTCTGGATATAAGCAAAAAAGTTAACAGTGCCTATCACTGGTTATGAGATTTTTTTTACTTTGTTTCTCCATATTTTCCAAAGTAAACATAGACTACTTTTACAATCATACAAAAACAACAAATATTATTTCAAAAAAGAAAGAAAATAGCAGCTTTCTAGAAAAGTGCAAAGTACCACAATCACCAAAATACTAGTTTCCTGAAATAGGAAGGCTCATCTCCCTTTACATCCAGAGTAAACCTTAATTTTTTTGTCTGATTTCACTTTTTCTTTTACCTGTTTTTCTTGAGCAACTTTCCATGTGATCACATTGATAATGCACATGCATGAATTTGAAGAGATTAATTCTAAAAAAGAACTATTAAGCCATTTATCACTGGATCATTACATCTAATGGATTTTAATCCTTCAGCAATCACTAAAGCTTACATTATTTAGCTAAATGATTTGTTATAATGCTACAAAGCAGGGATTTTTATCAGCTATAGAAGCTGCTGTTGTTGGTCTGATAGTTTTTGTAAAATTAATTCCAAACTTTAAACATAGGCCTGTTAAAGATTCAGAATAGGGGTACACCCTTCAAATTTACACCTATTAACATACAGGATCACAGACCTGGTGCAAGGGACTGATATTCTTGCTTTAAGCCCATGTAAATGTCTTAAAAGCTATGGAAGGAATTCTCTCAGAGGATCTTGTTCCAGTTCCTACTAGGGAAGCAGGACAATAACAGTAACATTGTTAAAAGCCACAATTCTTCCTCAAAATCTAGCTCGGTGATGGCTAGTGTAATTAAAAATATTTGTTGACCGCCACTAATGTTAACATGTTCACTGACAAAATGGAGTTCACCTGGGCTGTGACCAATGAGCTAACATTGTGGCTAACTAAAATCTAGCTGTTCTTGCTGCCAAAAACAAAACAAAGAAGAAAAGGGCTGGCGGGTTAGTTCAATTGGTTAGAGCACAGTGACATAACACCAAGTCAAGGGTTTGGAACCCCAGACTGGCCAGCTGCCAAAAACAAAACAAACAAAAATAAAATCTAGCTGTTCTCTAAATGAGGACCATCAAGCTAAGAGCCTTATCAGTCATTCAGACCAAAATGGCATACAATTCAATGAGAGCTGACAGACGCAGGCAAGGCAGGGCTAAGGGCCAATAAGCCTGCTGCCACAAGGTATCTGAGGGAATATGGGAATAGAAGTTTCTCAGTGAAATTCAGGACATATAAACCTCCTTTTGTTTCAGAATACAACCAACAGCAGAATTCTGCCAATTTTCTTTTTCAAATCCATTCCACGAATTATAGACAAAGATAACATTGGCTATGAAATTTAGCAATATGGTTCTATCTTCTGAAGAAATATGCATTGTCAAATTGCTGAACTAGAAAAAAAAAAAAAGAAGAAAAAACAAATTGCTGATCTGGGAGTGTTTTACCTTAGAGTACAGCACTGCGGCTCCTGCATAATCCTTCTCCTGAAATTTTTTGTTCCCTTCTTCTCTGTAGAAAAGGGGAGCGTCAGGGTCCTTTCTCACCAAGTAACCTCTAGAAAGTCTTTTTAAAAACATCTCATCCTCAGGTCTTCATGAAGAAGGAAGGAAACAAAGAAAGCAGTAATTTGTCATTTCAAGGAAAGCTCAAAATCATCACACTAGAAATAAGAATGTGCGCCTGAAAAACACTGAAACACATGAGGTTGTATGTATCGTATGATGTGACTGGAGGGAAAAAGTCTTGTGGTCTCCAAGACATAGCGACTGGAATTTCTATTCGGAGGAAAGAGTGCTAATTTTTTATTCTTTATTTTGAAATTACCAGTCAAGCAACCATCCCTTGGATCATATATCATGAAGAAGTTTGGGTGTGGGGAATGACATAACACATGGACTCTCTGCACCAATGAGTACTCTCCACATAAAATGTGTTGAAAATACTTGAGTGATCCCTGTACCGGCCAGCAGTGAAAAAAACCCAAAAAACAAACAAACAAAAAACTTGAATGAATGGTTGACAGAGAAGAGAGAGAGAAATGTTAACATTTGGGGAATCTGGAAGAAAGGTATTATAAAGCAATACTTTGTACCATTTTTGCAAGTATGTCTGAAATTACATCAAATTAAAAACTTTTTAAAAATACAATGCTCGGGCCGGCCTGGTGGCGCACTGCTACAGTGCGCCGCTTGGGAGCATGGTGGCGCTCCCGCCGAGGGTTCGGATCCCACATACAGACCGGTTCCCGCTCACTGGCTGAGCGAGGTGCAGGTGCAGCACCGAGGTTTGCGATCCCTTTGCCAGTCGGCGCGACACTGAGGGTTGCGATCCGTTGCCGGACACGAAAAAAGACAAAAAGGAAAAAAAAAAAATACAATGCTCTGGGGCCGGCCCGTGGCTCACTCAGGAGAGTGCGGTGCTGATAACACCAAGGCCATGGGTTCGGATCCCATATAGGGATGGCCGGTTAGCTCACTGGCTGAGCGTGGTGCTGACAACACCAAGCCAAGGGTTAAGATCCCCTTACCGGTCATCTTTAAAAAAAAAAAAAAAATACAATGCTCTATATAATATAAGTATACAAATGCTGTATATAATAAAGAAGTTGATCTAATATATAAATCTACAAACATATATATACACGCTGACAATAGAGAATACACCTTTTTTTTCTAATAAGGAGAAATAGTATAGAATAATCTACATTATACTTTTTGTACTACCATGCCATAAAGTTAAATATGAATAACAAAAGTGGAAACAAAATGACATGGAAACTAAAAACTCTCTTAAGCAACTCTTGGGTCAAAGAAGAAATCACAATCAAAACTGCAGAATGTTTATAAGTGTTTTTCAAATTTTTGTTTACAAAGACCCACAATGAGAAATACCTTTCACATTGTGAGTTGGTATGATGCTTCCGTGTATGGATACATTGAAATTTCATAAAACATTATTTATCTTTGTTCTGTATAATAAGGTAAACACAAAAGTTAATATCAAACATGACTTTATTAATATTTAAATGCAACATGGAAAAATCACAAATAACACAAAAAGAAAAATTGGGAAAGATTTTATTTAATTCAAAAGATGTGCTTGCCTGTTCTAAATTTACTCAGTTAAGAACATATGAAGACAGTACCCAATGCATATCTGGTATACCATAGAGCCTATTCTTTTTTCTGTTTGCATTCATTTTGTTTTAAATTAAGTTAAACCTGAAAATCCGGGCGGAGCCCGTGGCACACTCGGGAGAGTGCGGCGCTGGGAGCGCAGCAGCGCTCCCGCCGCAGGTTCGGATCCTATATAGGGATGGCCGGTGCGCTCACAGCACTCACTGGCTGAGTGCGGTGCGCCAGTCTCAGAAAGGACAAAGAAAAAAAAAAACCCTGAAAATCCTACTTTTTTTTTTTTTTTTAAAGATGACCAGTAAGGGGATCTTAACCCTTGATTTGGTGTTGTCAGCACCACACTCTCCCAAGTGAGCCATGGGCCGGCCCTTGAAAATCCTACTTCAAACAAAAAGGTTTTGGTTAACAGTAGCAACAGCACAACTCTTCTTGACTAACCATAGATATTCTTTAGTCTTAATGAAAATGATGATGAACTCAATATTTTGTAATAGTTCTTCAGTGTAATTATGGACTAAGCTGCAACAATTCATTCTTTTCTTCAGGTACGAAATTTAACTCAGTAATTGATTCAGAATTTTGAAAACCAAATGAATGTTCTATACTTATTTTATGTTTCAAATTGTCTTCTGGAATGTCATAATAAAAAATTTGAGCTAGTGAGATGAAACAATCTAATTTTTTATTGTTTTAAAATATATATAACATATAACATGTTAAGCATTTTTAAGTGTACAGTTCAGTGACATTAAGTACATTTACAATATTGTGCAACCATCCCTACTATCCATTTCCAGAACTTTTTCTTTTTTTTCTTTTTTTTTTTTTTTAAAAAGATGACCGGTAAGGGGATCTCAACCCTTGGCTTGGTGTTGTCAGCACCACGCTCAGCCAGTGAGCAAACCGGCCATCCCTATATAGGATCCGAACCCGCGGCCTTGGTGTTATCAGCACCGCACTCTACCGAGTGAGCCACGGGCCGGCCCTTTCCAGAACTTTTTCATCATCCCAAATAGAAACTCTGTACCCATTAAACTATAACTCCTCATTCCTCCTTCTCCCTACCCCTGGTAACCTCTATTCTACTTTCTGCCTCTATGAATTTGCCTATTCTGGGTACTTCATGTAAGTGGTCATAGAATATTTGTTTTTTCATGTCTAGCTTATTTCACTTAGCAAAAAGCTTTCAAGGTTCATCCATGTTGTAGCATGTATCAGAACCTTACTCCTTTTTATGGCTGAATAATATTTCATTGTATGTACCACAATTTGTTTATCCATTCATCCACTGGTGAACATTTGGGTTGTTTCTACTTTTGGCTATTGTGAATAATATTGCTGTGAACACTGGTGTGCAAACATCTGCTCAAGTCCTGCTTTCACTTCTTTTGTTATAAGAAGTGGGATTGCTGGATCATATTGTAATCCTACATTTAATTTTCTGAAGAACTGCCATACCATTTCCACAGTGGCTGTACCATTTTACATTCCCACCAGCAGAGCACAAGGATTCCAATTTCTCCACATCCTTGGCAACACTTGATATTTTCTGTTTTTTGGTTTTTCATAATAGCCATCCTAATGGGTGTGAAGTGGTATCTTACTGTAGTTTTGATTTGCATTTCCCTGATGATTAATGATGTTGAACATCTTTTCATGTGCTTATTCACTATTTGTATATCTTCTTTGGGGAAATGTCAATTCAAGGCCTTTGCCTATTTTTTAATAGGATTTTTTGTTGTTGAGTTGTAGGAGTTCTTTATATATTCTGGATATTAATTTCTTATCAGATATGATTTGCAAATATTTTCTCCCATTCTTTGGGTTTTATTTTTACTCTCTTGATAGTATTGTTTGATGCACAAAAAGTTCTTAATTTTGATGAAGTCCAATTTATCTATCTTTTCTTTTGTTGCCTGTGCTTTTGGTGTTATATCCAAGAAATCACTGCCACATCCAATGTCATTAAGATTTTCTCCTATGTTTGCTTCTCAGAGTTTTACAGTCTGAGCTCTTAACTTTAGGTCTTTGATCCATTTTGGGTTAATTTTTGTATACGGTATAAGGTAAAGGTCCAGTTTCATCCTTTTGCATGTGGGTTGCAATTAGGATACAGACAGAAAGAACCAAGTTCTTTCTTCCTCCAGCCTTGCCCCTCTCTCTCTTTCTCTCCAGCCTTCTCCTTCCACCACCCCCTTCCTTCCTTTCTTTCTTTCTTTCTTTCTTTCTTTCTTTCTTTCTTTCTTTCTTTCTTTCTTTCTTTCTTTCTTTCTTTCTTTCTTTCTTTCTTTCTTTCTTTCTTTCTTTCTTTCTTTCTTTCTTTCTTTCTTTCTTTCTTTCTTTCTTTCTTTCTTTCTTTCTTTCTTTCTTTCTTTCTTTCTTTCTTTCTTTCTTTCTTTCTTTCTTTCTTTCTTTCTTTCTTTCTTTCTTTCTTTCTTTCTTTCTTTCTTTCTTTCTTTCTTTCTTTCTTTCTTTCTTTCTTTCTTTCTTTCTTTCTTTCTTTCTTTCTTTCTTTCTTTCTTTCTTTCTTTCTTTCTTTCTTTCTTTCTTTCTTTCTTTCTTTCTTTCTTTCTTTCTTTCTTTCTTTCTTTCTTTCTTTCTTTCTTTCTTTCTTTCTTTCTTTCTTTCTTTCTTTCTTTCTTTCTTTCTTTCTTTCTTTCTTTCTTTCTTTCTTTCTTTCTTTCTTTCTTTCTTTCTTTCTTTCTTTCTTTCTTTCTTTCTTTCTTTCTTTCTTTCTTTCTTTCTTTCTTTCTTTCTTTCTTTCTTTCTTTCTTTCTTTCTTTCTTTCTTTCTTTCTTTCTTTCTTTCTTTCTTTCTTTCTTTCTCTCTCTCCTCTCTCTCTCTCTCTCTCTCTCTCTCTCTCTCTCTCTCTCTCTCTCTGTCTCTCTCTCTCTCTTTCTTTCTCTTTCTTTCTTTCTATTTCCTAAAATTCTTTTATATCTTTTTCTCACTTCAACCAGACCCAGGATCAAGGTTCTAATGTATCGCATTTAGATGTTATTCTTCTTTAGTCTTCTTTGAGACAGTCTTATAATTCTGTTTTGTTTTGTTTTTGACCGGTAAGGGGATCGCAACCCTCGGCACGGTGTGGTCAGCACCACGCTCAGCCAGTGAGCACCCTGGCCATCCCTATATAGGATCCAAACCCACGGCCTCGGCGCTACCAGCACCGCACTCACCTGAGGGAGCCATGGGGCTGGCCCTTGTTTTGTTTTTTATGTGCAATTATTTTGAAGATTCAAGGCCAAGAAAATGTTCCACATTCTGGTTTTGTCTCATTGTTTCCTCATGATTAGATTCAGATTAAACAGTTTTTGTTAAGAATATTTCTACATAGTTAAATCTGTGTAATTCCTGATGCTTCAAATCAGGAGACAGGCAATATCTTCAATATTGGTGAAGCTAAGTTGGGTATCTTGGTTAAAGTGGTGACTCTTGGGTCTCTCCAATGTAGAT